AATAAAAAAAAACAATAACATTTATATTTCTTCCTAAAGCTGCTCATTTATATTCTTTTTCTTCATTTATACGACAAACATCAAGTAATTGTTTTAATGTAACAAAACCTGAAACATAAAATACTTGTTAAATTATTCATATGAAGACATTCAATAGTTGTATAAAATCTCTCAGGTTCTTTTATACCCAGCCTAGTGGTGCCGTTTTAATATGCTACATTAAGTTGAAAATGTTATTATTAATTTCTCTATTGCATTTTATCTTTTATTGCATGTAGAGAATTAAGTCTGGTATTAAAAGTTACAATCTACAGTAAGAAGCCTAAGAAATAGTAAGGATACATAGATGTCTAGGAACATACAGTTGTTATTTTGCACTTACATCATTATTGAATTTATCAATGAAGTGTAAGCAGTAATGGTACATTCAGGGTGATTTAGAGCTGTATTGTAAAGTGTCTTTTGTTGAAGACTGTATTGTAAAGTGTCTTGTGTTGAAAACTGTATTGTAAAGTGTCTTTTGTTGAAGACTGTATTGTAAAGACTGTATTGTAAAGTGTCTTGTGTTGAAGACTGTATTGTAAAGTGTCTTGTGTTGAAGACTGTATTGTAAAGTGTCTTTTGTTGAAGACTATTGTAAAGTGTCTTTTGTTGAAGACTGTATTGTAAAGTGTCTTGTGTTGAAGACTGTATTGTAAAGTGTCTTGTGTTGAAGACTGTATTGTAAAGTGTCTTGTGTTGAAGACTGTATTGTAAAGTGTCTTGTGTTGAAGACTGTATTGTAAAGTGTCTTTTGTTGAAGACTGTATTATGGTGATTATTTGTGTCATTGGGTTGTTGTCTCATTGACATTTAGGCCAAAAGAATAATACATGTGTTTCCACTAACGTTCTGAAAAAAAATAGGGTAGGTAGGTAGGCTATATCATTTTATTTTACAAACATTTTTTAGCTGATTACTACTTGGGAATCAGTCTGACTTTAACAATGCTTGTTCCGTAATGGCATAAAAAGTGTTAGGGTAGGCACTAAAAATTAGGGTAGGTAGGGTTAGCAGAAACACATGTATTATTTTTTTTGGCCTTACCCTACATCTTGTTTCAGAGGTTGTTCATTAATGAAAACTGTTAAAACAGAAGATTTCATAAATCTGCATTTTCATTACAGTGTAAAAAGAAATAGTTATCATCATGTAAAAATCTATAAACTGGATGTATTCTATTATTCATATAGATATTTTAGGTCATTCATATTGGTATTTTAGGTCATTCATAGGTATTTTAGGTCATTCATAGGTATTTTAAGTCATGCATATGCATAGGTATTTTATGTCAATCATATATATTTTAGGTCATTCATATGTATTTTAGGTCATTCATATTGGTATTTTAGGTCATTCATAGGTATTTTAGGTCATTCATAGGTATTTTAAGACATGCATATGCATAGGTATTTTATGTCATGCATATATATTTTAGGTCATTCATAGGTATTTTAGGTCATGCATATGCATAGGTATTTTCAGGTCATGCATATAAGTATTTTAGGTCATTCATAGGCATTTTAGGTCATGATTACAGGTATTTAAGGTCATTCATAGGTATTTAAGGTCATGCATATGCATAGGTATTTTTAGGTCATGCATATAGGTATTTTAGGTCATTCATAGGCATTTTAGGTCATGATTACAGGTATTTAAGGTCATTCATAGGTATTTTAGGTCATACATATGCATACGTTTTTTAGGTCATGCATATGCATAGGTATTTTAGGTCATTCATATATGTAATTTAGGTCATGCATATAGGTATTTTAGGTCATGCATAGGTATTTGAGGTCATGCATATATATATTTTATGTCATGCATATGCATAGGTATTTTAGGTCATGTATATGGGTATTTTAGGTCATTGATAGGTATTTTAGGTAATGTATATAGGTATTTTAGGTCATTCATAAGTATTTTAGTAAATCTGCAATTTCAATTTCAGACTATACCCATTGACAGATGTAAACTTATAAAAATATAGCAAAGAAATAAACCAGCAGCTAAGAGACCAACTTAACTTTGCAGTGAGGTTTGATCATTTTTGTCTCTCATCATATTTTGATTTCAACATTTGCATTATACCATCAAAATTACAAAACATGAGACATATCTCTGTGTTAACAGATTATGTACTTTGTGTTGAATGTTCCACTGCCTTAGTCTTTAAGATGGAGAACAGCAATAAAACCACTGATCCTGACTGCATTTGGTTTTGTTAAATGGATATAGGACTTCTGTGCCATTAATTAATTTTAAGTCCCTTCAACTTAATTTGCCTGATTATTTATTCATGTAAAATTGCTCAGCATATCACAATGTTCAATGTTTATACAGTGAAATCTGTCACCCTTTTCTTTTTTCGCTGTAGTAATACCAATTCATTTTTTTCCCCTGCCTGACGACTTGCAGGGGACTTAGAAATAATGGGTGTCCATTCATCTGTCTCTCTGTATGTCCAGTCTTCTTAGTGCTCTCATGTGTATAATTCTTGCCAGATTTTTATAAAACTTATATCATAGGTTTATATCACCAATGTCTTGGACAATTTCGAAAATCAGTGCTAATCTACAAATTTTAGAGTTATGCCCCTTGGAAATATTAATAAAATGGAAAATTGTATTGTTAGTGCTCTCATATGTACAATTCTTACCAGATTTTCATGAAACTTATATCGTAGGTTTATATCAGCAATGTATCAGACAAGTTGGAAAATCAATGCCAATCAAATAGTTTTAAAAGAGTTATGCCCCTTGGACACATTAGTTATATGGAAAATTGCATTATAAGTGCTTCCAAGTGTACAATTTTTGCCAGATTTTTACCAAATTTATATCAAAGATTTATATCAGCAATGTCTATGACAACTTCGAAAATCAGTGCTGATTAATTATTTTTAAAAGGGTTATGCCCCTAGGTAATATTAACTATATTGGAAATTGCATTGCATTTGCTCTTAAGCCTTCATTTCTCTACGATATTCATAAAAATTAAAGAAAACAAAACAACAAGTTTTTTGCCCTTGGACAGATAAACTATGTGCAACCTGGGGGACATTGGAACTCTGTTCTTTTATTAACCTTAATTCAAAGGTCACTTCTCTTGTAAGGTCACTTTTTCTCTGGTCTCAAGGATGACATTTATATATTCAGGTTTGACTGTATACTCATTATTCAAATGACCTTGCTGAAAGAAACTTTAAATGTTGACCAAATATAGAATTTTTGTGTTCATTCCAGAATAATGAGTCTTAAGAGAACACTTAATTCCTGTGAGATTTTTATTTTCCTTCACAAAAAGTTTTGATCTTGACTAAAGCAACAACATTTTTATACAACACACAGTGATATAGACAGATCAATTTTGATACTGTGATATAATTTGCCAAGAATGTGTCATTCAGGATGAAAAAAACACCAACAGTAACTATTTACTTAGTCTGATCAAAATGTCAGCTGAACCGAGACTAAACATCGTGCTCTTTATTATCAAAGTTTTCACTTAAATATTTAATGTGGAATGAATTTCAATTCACAAAAAATTTATTCTTACTTCTTGGTATACATTTCTTATAAAAAATCACGAATTATCAAAGAAAATGTCATCAGGTGTTCTATATGGAACAATTTTTGACTGCTGAATCTTTAAATTACCACTTTTTTTCTATAGAGTAGCACTTGCACAACTGCAATGCAGATTTGAGTTACATCATTATCAAGTTATCTTGATAGCGATGGAATACAATTACATCATCTTATATACATATGAATGACAGTTATGTGCCCTTGATGAGTATAAAAGTCTTTTAACAACTTGTTTGCCACACTGGGAAAATTGTTTCATTTGATTGCTGAGATTTGCACATTTCTATGTGTAGCAGTCAGTAGAAAAAAAAACATTGCCCTTGCTCATTCAGTCTCTTATCTGCATTTATGTGCCCTTGATGAGTATAAAAGTCTTCAAACAACTTGTTTGCCATGCTGGGAAAATTTTTGTATTTGATTGCTGAGATTTGGCTATTTCTCTGTGTTGTCAGTCAGTAGAAAAAGAGCATTGCGCTTACTCATCCAGTCTTGTTTAAGTTTACAGTTATGTCCCCTTGATGCATATCATTAATATGAATAGAGAGGGTATGGTAAAGAAAGCATACAGTGAAAACTTTAACATGTCTAATGGTTTTTGTAGTAAAATAATAGTGTTATTAGGTAAAATTGGTTTTCAGCATGTTTGTGAAAATCAAAATACTATGTCAAAGACAAAATTACTTTTTTCATTTCAAAAGAAATTAGAGGAGGAATTCATAAAATCCTGGAAACAAGCTCTTTTTAATGACTCTAATAAAGATAGTCATGGTAATAAACTAAGAACGTATCGCAAAGTTAAAAATAATTTCGAATTAGAAAAATATCTCCTACTGGACCTTAACAAAAGTGTTATTTCTAAAATGGTAAAAATTAGAATTATTAATAGCAAATTACTAATAGAAGTTGGTAGATATACTAGAACGCCTTTAGAACAGAGAATTTGTCCACTTTGCAAGGATGGAATTGAAGATGAATTCCATTCCCTCATTAAATGTAAAGCGTTAGAATTTAATAGAAATATACTCTTTTGTTTTGTAATTTAAATGATATAGTTCCATCTTTTGTTAATATGTCTGAAACTCTGAACAAGATAAATTTAGTTTCATTTTGAAAAGTAATGACACTGACATTTGTACTGTATGTGTAGCTGGAATAAGTGATATTCATTTTAAGCAAACAGAATGTTAAGAACTGTTGTAGTATTAAATCTTATTATAAAAGCTTGAATTAATAATGTAGTGAATAACACCTCCATGCAATGTAGATATAAAATATGTGTCTCTTATCATTGAGAAAATATGTCTCTGTATATTTGCTTTTGTTTATTTTTGTCTATTTTTTGTATTTGTATTTTGTAAATGTCAGCTGGTATCATTCCTGTATTTGAATTTACACCAATAAAGTTATTTGATTTGATTTGATTTATAAATGTCCATCAGGAAAGTTTGCCACAATAAAAAAAAATGTTTTATCTAATTTCTGAGAACAATTATAACTTGCTGTGTCAGAATCAGAAGCACAAATTAGGAGAAAGAGAGCACAAATCAGGAGAAAGAGAATATAAATCAGGAAAAAGAGAGCACAAATCAGGAGAAAGAGAGCACAAATCAGGAGAAAGAGAGTATAAATTAGGAGAAAGAGAGCACAAATAGGAGAAAGAGAGCACAAATCAGGAGAAAGAGAGTAAAAATTAGGAGAAAGAGAACACAAATCAGGAGAAAAAGAGTACAAATCAGGAGAAGGAGAGTATAAATTAGGAGAAAGAGAGTACAAATCAGGAGAAAGAGAGTATAATTCAGAAGAAAGAGAGCACAAATAGGAGAAAGACAGCACAAATCAGGAGAAAGAGAGCACAAATCAGGAGAAAGCACAAATCAGGAGGAAGAGAACACAAATCAGGTGAAAGAGAGCACAAATCAGTAGAAAGGGAGTATAAATTAGGAGAAAGAGGGTATAAATTAGGAGAAAGAGAGCACAAATCAGGAGAAGGATCACATAATTCAGAAGAAAGAGAGCACAAATCAGGAGAAGGAGTGCACAATTCAGATGAAAGAGAGCACAAATCAGGAGAAAGAGAATACCGGTATAAATCAAGAGAAAGTGAGCACAAATCAGGAGAAAGAGAGCACAAATCAGAAGAAAAAGATCACAATTCAGAAGAAAGAGAGCATAAATCAGGAGAAAGAGAGCACAAATCAGGAGAAAGAGAGTATAAATTAGGAGAAAGAGAGCACAAATCAGGAGACAAAGAGTATAAATCAGGAATAAGAGAGCACAAATCAGGAGAAAAAGAGTACAAATCAGAAGGAGAGTATAAATTAGGAGAAAGAGAGTACAAATCAGGAGAAAGAGAGTATAATTCAGAAGAAAGAGAGCATAAATCAGGAGAAAGAGAATGTAAATCAGGAGAAAGCACAAATCAGAAGAAAGGGAGTATAAATTAGGAGAAAGAAGGTATACATTAGGAGAAAGAGAGCACAAATCAGGAGAAGGATTGCACAATTCAGATGAAAGAGAGCACAAATCAGGAGAAAGAGAGTACCGGTATAAATCAAGAGAAAGAGAGCACAAATCAGGAGAAAGAGAGCACAAATCAGAAGAAAGAGAGCACAATTCAGAAGAAAGAGAGCATAAATCAGGAGAAAGAGAGCACAAATCAGGAGAAAGAGAGTATAAATCAGGAAAAAGAGAGTATAATTCAGAAGAAAGAGAGCACAAATCAGGAGAAAGAGAGCACAAATCAGGAGAAAGAGAGCACAAATAAGGAGAAAGAGAGTATAAATCAATAGAAAGAGAGCACAAATAAGGAGAAAGAGAGCACAAATAAGGAGAAAGAGAGTATAAATCAAAAGAAAGAGAGCACAGTTTAGGAGAAAGAGAGTATAAATCAAGAGAAACAGAGCTTTATGTCCTTATTTACTTTGTTTCTGTCTAATCTTCAGTTATGTGCCCTTGATCAGTGTAGACATCATCCAGCAACTTGGTTGTCAGACTGAAAATTGTTTTATATGCCCCATCTACTATCATAAGAGGGAGTTCTGTTTTTTAGTCTGTGCAGTCTGTCTGTTTGTATGTATGTCTGTTTTTTCAACAAATGTTTTGATTTTGTGACATTTTTCTCAACTACTCTTAAACAGAACAACTTCATATTTTGTCAGCAGCTTGAAAGTGATGAGTTGTAATTTTTAGGATCTGTCGGACACCCACTTTCTGTTTGCTGATACTTAAAATCTATCAATATGCTGAAGGAACTTAAGTTTTTCTCAAACATTTCTTCAGTACTACTAAACTAAATGACCTTATATTTGGTCAGCATGCAGCTGAACCTTGACGAGTTGTTAGTTGTTACGTGTGGATGCTTTTGTGATCTGTCAGACATCTACTAACTTCTGGCAATTTGAAACTTTAAATTGCAAGTGAGGATATGCACAATGTGTGCAGCTTCTCATCTATTTTACATCAGCAAAAGGCAGCATGTTTTAAATGGCACATTTTTTGCATGAATTTTAAATTTTGATCATAAATTTTAATGAATGAATTAGGCAATACACTAAAACTAAGATTGACACTCCTTCAATCGAAGTTGTCCTTATTCACTTTTAACTATTGTGTTAGGTGCCAGGGAAGATGCAGCTAAATACTAAATAAAAAGAAGATTGTTTGTACATAGGGAAACTAAGGAAAGGAGAAAAACATATACATTCATACAATTAGGACACATAAATAAGTGTTTGATTCTCATATTTTCCCACAAAAACATGGAAGAGTTTTATAGACTGCTAAGACATTTGAAATAAAAATACGAAATCCCATAAAAGGAACAGATAAATTTTATCTAGTCTTTACATGATTATTAACATTCTTTCTTGGGTAAAAATCCAAAAGGAGATTTTAAATTTGCTAATTCTGTCATCAGAAGCTTGTCAGGTTCATTAAGATGTGACAAAATTTGGAGTATGTGGTCTTTTCCTTAATTGATTCTGTTTTTTTATCTTTCAAGATCACTATTAGTTGAGAGTTTTTCCAAATAAAGCTGTTATTAGCAGTTTCTTAGATTTCCAATGTTTATTCCAAATGTCATTGCTATGGCTACAGGCTATCAAGACTTCATGGTCATTAAGGAAGTCAGCTTCATTACTGGGATGGACACTAATACAAACTTTCAATTAACCCAGACTGATGTTAGATGGACACAGGAAGCTGAATGACATATGGATTTAGGATTCTATCATGATGTGCAGAGAATAAAAGAGTTGGCTGTAATTTTACCCTTATTACTTTTTTTTTTGGGAGGGGACGTCTTTTGGTGGTAGAACCAGGGTGCCCAGTCTGTATAAGCACCTAAATTCAGTAGGGATCCTATAGCTAAAATCAACCAGGAAAGAAAATGTTTTACAAGGGAGGGAATAATTTCTCCTCATATTCCTTATTTTAATTGCACATCTCCTTTTAATATTTAATAGCCCTTATAACATTAATTCATTGTAATTAAGTATTTTTCATAGCCATTGGAGTGTAGTTAGAATATAATGATCTCTTTTACGGGAACAAGGTTTTTCTGCTTCTTCTTAAGTTTACAGTTTATTGTTATAGTCCTATTGCTGGTTTTCTCAAAGCTGACTTAATATAAATTGGCCATATGTGTTCATAAGGTGTCTTGTTTCAATAAATATTGTATCTTATATTTCCTCAATTAACCAAGCATCAGGGCAACCATTTCTAATAATAGAAGTTCATGGTAAAACATAAAAGGCTTTGTCCAGATTTGAATGAATATTTGATGGTCCATTTTCATGATTTTATCTGCAGAAAATTTTTCAAAGAGCGTAGTGGGCCTTTGATACAAGCAGAGTCCTTTGATTTTGTAGCTTTTCTGTAAAGTGTAACTTATCTCAGCTGATTATTGGTACTTTCCATTGCTATCAAGATAGTATTGGACATTTAACTAACAAAACCAATCATTGAAATGTGCTTGACTTGTCCTGAACATTTATCTAACACTTAGAAGTCAATTAACAAGTTACTGAAACATGCTTGACTTGTCCTGAAATATTGATGGTTGATGAATACCCTTATAAAGTAGATCATACATATTCATGTGCATAAATTACTGTTAATTAAATTATTTTATGTTATCCAATTTTTATACAACAAGTTGCAACCTGCTCAGATATCACTTTGCTTGAAGTTAAGCTGCTAAAAGTGACATTTCTATAGTAATGTTTACACCTGTGTGTCACATTGTTCATGTTAGAATTTTACATGGAAACCTTAAATAATAAATGTCCGCCAATCTATTTGCTTCCTTTATGAGAGAGGAGTTGTCCATTATACACAATATAAATCAACGTTTTCTATTATAATTACCAAACATATGTTTTATTTAGATATTCAAAAGTAAATTTATTAGAATATTTTATTTAAAATATTATAAGGGAAATTTATTAGAAGTTATTTCTCTCATGTTTTTCAATAAAATATCCGTAGTTCACTAACTAATTGTGTAATAAAGTAGAAAACTCTTTGTTTGAGAAACATGCATTAAGTCGGAAAATTTAATAGCTGCACTAATTTCGATTATTATCGTATGTGTTATGAAAGTTATCTTAAATAGGCTCATAAAGTATAGAATTAGAAAATATGTCAGACGCTGCATAACACTGGACTTTTGTTTTTACATGCCTGCCTTGGTCTGATTGGAAGCATAGAGTTATTAACAGATCAAAATGGGAGACATTTTTATAGAGGTTTTGGACGCTTACCAAAACAATATATGAAATTTGTTCAGTTATTACCGCCAATTAACGTTGTACATTACAATAATTACCAAACTTAATTGCCGTTTATGAAGTCAATTTCATTATCTTCTTAAGATTATTGATCGGAATATTTTTGAAGTTTGTTGAAAATTAAAGGTTATCCCTTCTGCAAGAAATATGTAAATAATGTTTCATAATTCTACACCTGGATTAGCAATTCCTGTGATAAGATTAGCATAAAACTGTATCCTAATGTTCTAAATTATGTAAAAAATATCTTTGAACTCAGAGAAGCCAACCTCTTTGTTTCACTTGAAAGAAATTTTGGTAGATATTAAAATACTAAATCAAATCATAAATCTACCACGATAAGTTAAAAATTTAAAACAGGAATCATGAAGTTTTGTATTTAGTCGTATTGGCAAAAAACACAGCCCCAATGCATCTAAGACAAAAAAAATGTTGAAAATTAAAAGGACATACATGTAGGACAATTTGCATTATTTTTTTAATTAATTCATCTGTCCTTCCTTCATCTCTGTCTTTACATCTCCTTCCTTCAACTCTGTCTTTTCATCTGTCCTTCCTTCATCTCTGTCTTTTCAGCTGTCCTTCCTTCATCTCTGTCTTTCGGTGTATCCATCAGTCTATGGCTCACACAGTCTCTCTATTTCTATCTGTCAGTGTACATCTATTATAGTAAGACCAACTCTGCTGGTCTGTTGTTATTCACAAGAGAAGAAGTGTTTAAGGTTTTTCATGTAAAGGCTGTAATGTCTGGAGCTAAAAGAAAATAAATTCAGTCAATTTGACAATGCACACTGATAAAAGAAAATTGATGGCTTTTGTCAAAAATTGAGTGTCTTATATTGCATATGACCTTAATGTACATATTAGTCGTAATAAAGAAATATCACTAATTCAAGTCCTATACAATATGGATGACAAAACTGCATTCCTCAAGTCTCTCTTTTGTACAGAAGCTATGCTTTATCACTGGGGCAGTACAGGAAATACAGCACGTCCTGGTATTGACAGTCTGTATCAATTCTCCACAAACCTTTGATGTGGTAAACTGTAGGAAATTAGAAATTTACAAAATTATATAAAATGCATTGAATATATCCCTTGAAATAATTAGAAATGTAACATGATAACCAACAAATGCACATTTTATTAGCCAATAAATAGTTGATGGCTTAAAAATCCCTGTTTCTGAGGATTTTATTGGTGCTCTTTATTACGGATTTAATCAAAATAACATTAGTGGATGCAGAAGGTTATGTTTAAGAACTGCAGCAAAGTAAAGCTATAAATTTTACCAGGTTAGTAAATGGAGAAAGTCTCTTTGTTGTTTTTTGTTGATTTCTGATTTTTGTTAATGAATGATTTATGAGACAAGATATTTGATGTCAGTTTTAAGAAACTGGAGTACAATTTTAGCTTTTATTGACTTTTCTATGAAATATTCATTGCTAATATGAAAGATAAAACCATGCCACAATGTTCTTAGGTTTAAGAAGAATTTTATTAGCAAACAGACTTTGTTTCATTTTGGTTTTTTCAAATCCATAATATTTTCTATTGCTATGGGCTTATATTGTAATGAGTTTTGAACAATATTAGGTCTTTGATGTGGTTTGAGACACACAAATTACATCTTGAGTATTAATTTTGTTTCCATT